CCTTGTCCTGCAGTTATCTACCCTTTCAAGGAGTTGACTCCCCTCCTGTTTGTAGGCTCCCTTGAGGTACTGAAAGGCTGCAATGAGGTCACCCCGCAGCCTTCTTCTCCAGGCTGAACAAGCCCAGCTCCCTCAGCCTGTCTTTGTAGGGAGGTGCTCCAACCCCCTGATCATCTCTGTGGCTCTCCTCTGGACCCTCTCCAACAGCTCCCTGTCTTTCTTGTTCCGGGGGCTCCAGACCTGGACACAGTACTGCAGATGCGGCCTCACAAGAGCAGAGCAGAGGGGGACAATCACCTCCCTGTCCCTGCTGGCCACCCCTCTTCTGATGGAGCCCAAGATACCATTTGCTTTCTGAGCTGCAAAGGCACACTGCTGGTTCACATTCAGTTTTTCATCCATCAGGACCCCCAGGTTCTTCTCTGAAGGGCTGCTCCTTCCAGTCTTTATGGATGCCTGGAATTCCTCCAGCCCAAGTACAAAACCTTGCACTTTGCCATGTTGAACCTCATTAGGTTCACCTGGTCCCACCTTTCAAGCCTATCGAGGTCCCTTTGAATGACATCCCTTCCTTCCACCAATCACTGCAGTGAATGTTATGAGAAATAAGATGAACAAAGTGTAACTGTCAGCATGCTCAGGTGCTACACACTGCTGTGAGGATGCGAGCAACACACAGCAGGAACTGAAAGTCACATTCGTAATCAGAAATGGTTATAAATGGTGACCATTATGGAAACAGTTTGCTCAGGAGGCACTGGTGGAGAGAAACTAACATTAGGGCACGCAGCTGTTGATACAGGGCTGCTCCAGAAGTAACACCACTTCCTGTGTCATTCTGCTGGCCCACAGTGACAGAGGCAGATGTTGGTGGTGTGACAGAGGTTGAACCTTCCTGCCAGTCTCATTACATGTTGTTGCTGTGTGACTGATAGCAGCAGAGTCTGACAGAATGGCATCTGACATGGAAGTGCATATAGAGCGTTGATGTCCCACTGAATTCCTCCATGCAGAGAAAAAAATGGCTTACTGACTCCTGCTGAACATTCATGGAGACCAAACAGTGGATGCTGGCACACTGAGGGGTGGTTGCTGCATTATAGTATATTTACAAGCACAGCATTTACATTCTTATTAATTGCTGGCAAAAATGCATAGCTAACAGCAGCTACTGTATCGAAAAGAAAGTATTTTGCATTTGAGAATTTGCTCTATCAAATGGTATTATTGTGTTTGTTTTATGTGTTGTAATTTCCATAGAAATAAATAGGCAGCATTCCTTTTGGAGCCATTTATGTATTTGGAGAATGACAAAAAGAAGAAATAGAGAAGAACAAAAAGAAAAAGATGTTAAAACATGTTAGAACTGTGAACCAAAAACATCAAGTGTATGGTGCCTTAATTTAAATAAAATCATACAAAGCATAAAGACTTGTAACACGATGGAAAGCATAGCAACAGCAGCAGAGCAGCAAAGTTGTAGACAAGTGAGGATTTGCACAGATGTAACAGCCATGAACTGTTGAGAAATAAAGGAAAGAAGCTGCTTACCTTCAGAAAGCCTCAAGTAGGCAGTGATCTCCAGCAAGATCCCCTTGCTTCCACTGCCAACCCTTAAATGAGGTCAGGGAAGGGGTAGATCTTGGCTCCATCCCTTTGGTCACTCAGGTTCATTGCATACACCTGAGCTCTCCTGGGTTGGCCCTGCCTTCCCACCAGGTGCTCAATTACTGCTTCAAGCCATGACTTAGCATTTCTGTTACAGAACTGGTGGTGACAGCAAGAGACTTGAACTAGCTAGATACCTCCTCAGATTAGAATTTGGGAGACTATCCAGGTGACAGTAGTCTTTAAGTAATGATTTGAGAGAGGGAACTCCCAGCCTGCATGTAAAATCCCACCATGCCAGATCTAGGAATGAGTACACTACAGAAAGTTTGCAGTTTCTTAAAGAAATATAGGGCCACAAACAGACCATCCCAATGAGAAAGAAGGGAAGCTGTCAAGAGAAAGCTGTGACTAAATCTAAACCATTTTGATGACTTGTATCTCTTGCAAAAAGATGTACAAGAGCAGAATCTAGGTTAAATTACAAGAATTGGTGACAAAATGACTGCAATAATGAGTACGGAAATTCAGGAAGGTTAATGTGCAAAGCAAGCTAAAGCAATCAAAGAGTCATGATAAAGCTAATTTTTATTAACTGTATTATTATTATTAATTAAACTGTGATATATCAAAAACAGATCATGAGATTTTGTCTTCGGTGAGGTTTCTGCCGCTGAGCCACCTACTATTCACATAAGAAGGTGAGAGGAGAATGGGCTGTGTGAAATTCACATATAATGGTTAGAAAATGGCACTCAGGAGTAGTGTCACACGATTCACATACAAACGAGAAGTTTCTCACAAGTGAGATCTCCTGATATTTTTGTCCTGAATCCCAGACTGCCTGATTTTAGGTGATGCAACATGACAGAGAATATTTTTATTGTATTTATGGAGGATATCCCGTTCCGGTGAGAGCTGCAAGCACTTCAGAAGACAGAATTGAACAAATCCTGACAAGTCGAAACAGAGTTCTGAAGTAAATAGAAAGTAATTCTGTAAGGTGAGAAGCTTACACGGTGCTGGGAAGAATTGACTGCAGAAATGTAAGCTGGAGACAAACTGGTTAAGCGGTTACTTCATAAAAAGAAGACTTCATTCATAGCAGTGCACAAAAGAAAATGAGTCAGTAGAGATTTGGTGTTAAAAAAATGTGATCAGTTAAATACAGTAAAAGGCTGTCAGGCACAAGAAAAGCAAAGAAATGTTTCTACTCCACTACGGTTCCAAATGGCTTCTGGTGAAGAAAACTTCTCGGTTTTGGGCACCTCCTTTCAATTACAGAGAGTTCTGTGGAGGACAGAAACACTTTTCACAGAAGTGTGAGAACTCCACCCACTGAGCGTGACTGATAGAAGTACAGTTGGACACCTGAAAAGTCTGCAAGGACTTATGAATGTACAGCCGAAACAGTATGAGAATTTGACACAAAGAAAGTAGTCTGTATATGAGAAAAGTGAATACACACACCAGCCCATCTGTTTGGCAAAAGAAATACTTTTTTGCTGCATAATAAACTCTCAGCCAAAGGCATTGAATGTCATAATGAGCCTTTCTTTTTTAGTATACCCAAATCCTCAAACTCACAATATCCTGTGAGGTGCAGTAGAAGTCCTGAGGACACAGAGCATCCATATGCTAGGGAAAAATAGTGTGGATTTTTACCTTGATGGATAAAAATACACCAAGGTAAAAAATAAAAATAAAAATCAACGCTCGGCCTCTCCTGCATTATCCACTATGGGGAGCTGAAGGGTAATCTTGCTGGATAGATGGTGATAAAGGAATCCAGTTGTGCTCTTAGTTGGAGCTATAAAGTTCACACGTACTGATTTCCACAACCTGATCTCTGCAGAGCTCACATATAAATGTGAATGCAATCCCACCTTCTCTGAAGGGTGATGATGTCATCCAGGATCTGCCCAGAATGGGTACCTCCTGCATCCATTCCCTCTGCCACTGCATCAGGAGCCAGGGAACTATGGGGTCTGCTTGAGAAAACAGGCTTGAGGAAGGATTCCTATTTAGGAGGTAATTAATCTTATCCCTGTAAATTATAGGAAGAAACTGCATGTTTCAGAACAAAACAACCAAATCTGGGGGAAGGAATGCCAGGAAAAATCTGTTCAATTCTAGGATATACCAGGAAACGCAGCTAGTATGGACAGAAAGGTCCCAGAAACATTCATTTATCTTTGAATGTGTTTTTTAATGTCTTTTTAAAACAGAATTCCCAAAATAAAAAAAAATAAACTGTAGAGAGTATTTGTAATTGACCATGTTCTTCCCCCACAGCTCAAGCAGTAGCATCATTACAAGGACCTTGCCTCGGGTGTCCATAGTACACCTAAGCACACTGCCTTGATATATCTCTATATTGATCTTATTGCTTGAGTAAGCTTTAAAATCCAGAAAAGTGAGTGATTTCTTACACATTTAGAACTAATAGCTTTAGAAATACTTAGGAATAGATTATACAGTGACTTTTCTCTATGTAGGGAGATTTCATATCCTTAAAACCATAAGGCTAGAGCCAAATATAATATGCCTGAAGTAAAATCAAGTCAATTTATCTTCAATGAGTAAGTAATTAATACTTGTACTTTACGTTAAGTATTTTACAGTTTAAATGCCTATTGAGGCTTTCTAGCTACAAGATATGGAGAAGTTAAGTTCAGTGTATTAAAGATGCTCAGCATATTGTCAAATTGTACTTAAATATTGACACAGCCTTAAATCAACACTGTGTTGAATTCTGTACACATAATCAAGAACAGAATATAGATAATCTATTTTATAATGTGGTTGTTGGTTTCCCATATTTGGTGGTTCAATAGCACAGAAATGAGTTCACAAGTTATTTCTGCCAGAACAAATCAATATGTATGCAACAGTGGATTCAATGGCACTGCTAAAGTGCCATCAGCTCAGTAACAGGCCAGCAGAATGAAGAGAGAAGCCTTCCTCATTTTTTGGGGTTGGGGTTGTAAAAGAATACACAACAAGGAAGCTGCCTCCTTCTGAGAAATGTAGCTTTGATCATTTAATTAGTATTGAACTCATATTTGGTGGAAGAGTTTGGAAATGAAATTTTAGAAAAGGCTATCTGTAGACTTTAGGTACATCAGAGTAAACTTTTTATGTGAAATGAAGCTGGAAAAAATAGGTCACTTTCCTGAGAAAGCTGTTAAGGATTATATCAATCTTCTGAAGGCCAGCAGAGACACACTGTGTCACGTAACCTTTCCCTTCACTGAGTATGTAATACAAATCCACTTGACAATATATGCTTTACACGGGCCTTATTGTCGTGACCTAATCTCTCTATTTCTGGTGTATGGCATTACGAAAAAGAAACACTTTTCTTTCTTCTTCATTTCAAAGAAGATTCTGAATCTGCATGCAAATTACCAAACCATTAATGGAGCACATGGAAGCTGAGTTTTCCCTTACATATCTTGCATAACTTGTATGCGTTATGTTCCACATAGCACAGCAGGAGTGACCACTTCATGGCTAGTCATTATGTGTCAATCAATGCAGACTATACCTCGAGTTGCTGAGGTGAGGATAGTTCGTTATCAAAAAAATGAAAGGCCAGCATCTATTTATTTCCTGATGCTTACCTAGTTCTAATGCTTACATTTCATGCTGCTGCGTTAGAAGATCTCTATCTTGTTTAAGAAACAAAGCCAGATAAGTGCAAAAGTGAGTGCTAGGAAATGCTACCATGAGATCACAAAGGGCTTTTGTGTTTATACATATCTATACTATGTATATTCATAAGTATTCATTGTATATAAACATACACCCACACAAACACTCTGTGCATTGTACACATCTCTGATATCTAGAACTGCTGTGTTGCCAAATCTATGCTCTCCTGCCTTTAAAGCCAAGTGTCTTATTTCCATCAATGCCAATCCGTTGACATCCTTCAGAAGTGTGAGACATTCCCAAAAGTTGCTGTAAAAAAAAATTGCTTCTGAACATTAACATCAGAAAAGCTGTTGGAACTTCAGGCCTGTCTGTGGCAGACTGCAATTGGTAGGCTCCAATAGTGGTGTCCTACAAAGATGTAAGTATAAGACAAAAAGTCAGCCTTAATGTGAAGCAGAATGCGAAGAGAGGGGGAAAGGCTTCCGTATTGCTGACGTATTTCTGCTGTACACAGTGTGTATTTATTATCACAAGAATTCCTGACCTTCAAACTAACCCTTCACCTGGAAAGCTCTGAATAAGAAAATTATAGATTTTGTGATAAACAGTTTTCTGAGGAAGATATCCATCAGCTGGCTCCTCATATGCACTCTTATCTGTTCTACAGTGCTTGACTCACACGTCCATTCTTATCAGTTTTTAAATGGTTAACTCACCCGTGTGTATTAGAAACAGATTCATGTCTGTTTCATACAGAAATAAGTGTAGATATGCACGTGTGCTTCCTTTGGAAGAAAATATAAGGAGAACTTTTTTTTAGTATTAAAATAGAAGACACTCCCTTTTTTTGCAGAGCACTGTATGTTAATAGAAATACTGGTAAGAAAAGCTGCTGCCTAAGAGAAACAGCAATAAACTGCAACATAAACAAACAAAACCTAACTGCTGACAAGAAGTTCAACTGCAGTCAAGTTATTAAGACTGAAGACAGCAAGATGAACACCTCTTCCTTTCTGATTCCTGTTTTCACATGTCTGTCAAGCAGAACCACTAGAAAACCAAAAGCTTTGGAGACAATGCACCATGGATACTGTGGCTTTACATACAGGAATGGGAAATGTCCCCAACAGAACAGAAAGGGCACTTTTCAAAATACAGTACACTTTACAAAATACAGTATTGTTAACAGGCTAACACTTCTGCTCGTGCTGCAGCCTTCTGGGCGCCTCAGTGAGCACAAAACTAATTCTCTCTAATGTCTAAGAAACTGATGTCACTCATTCAAAAATGAAATTAATTTAATGCCTTATAATTTTATATACAAGCCACATCTGTGTTCATGTTTGCAGAGTATATTCTGATCCTTCCACTGTTGTGGTTTTTTTGGTTGTTTTATTGCTTGTTTCTTTTAGCAATTATATCAGTAGTTTATGAAGAAAAATAACATCAGAAGTACCTAACCAGCCAAACCACAAATACTATTCCTTCCTGTCTGGTAATGAGTGATAATTCCACTATTTAGTTACTATTTCATACTCAACTTACAGTTTCCCTTTATGAATTTCCGTTTTCTTTTGTGAATGCCTCCTCCTTCCTCTGCTTGAATCAAAGAAAAGTAGACAGCATCACGTGGCACAACAGATTACTCCTGCCTTCAATCAGCCAAAGAAAAAGAAGTTTGAAAAATCATTTTATTTTTATTAAAAATAAAAGATAGCAACTTAGCTTTTAACTTCATTAACAAAATAAATGTCCATAGTCAGAATGTTAAGTTAAAAAAATCCTTCAAGGTTAGGATTAAATATGTAATTATTGATAATGATTTACCACCAGCAGATAAACACAGTGGCCAGCAGGGACAGGAAGGTGATTGTCCCCCTCTGCTCTGCTCTTCTGAGGCTGCATCTGCAGTACTGTGTCCAGGTCTGGAGCCCCCGGAACAAGAAAGACAGGGAGCTGTTGGAGAGGGTCCAGAGGAGAGCCACAGAGATGATCAGGGGGTTGGAGCACCTCCCTACAAAGACAGGCTGAGGGAGCTGGGCTTGTTCAGCCTGGAGAAGAAGGCTGTGGGGTGACCTCATTGCAGCCTTTCAGTACCTCAAGGGAGCCTACAAACAGGAGGGGAGTCAACTCCTTGAAAGGATAGATAACTGCAGGACAAGGGAAAATTATTTGAAGTTAAGGGATGGCAGATTTCGGTTGGATGTCAGGGGGAAGTTGTTTGCTGTGAGAGTGGTGAGGTGCTGGAACAGCTGCCCAGAGAGGCTGTGGATGCCCTGTCCATCCCTGGAGGTGTTCAAGGCCAGGTTGGATGGGGCCCTGGGCAGCCTGGGCTGGTATGAAATGTGGAGGTTGGTGGCCCTGCATGTGGCAGGGGGTTGGAGCTTCATGGTCCTTGAGGTCCCTTCCAACCTGGGCCATTCTGTGATTCTGTGATTCAGTATCACCAAATGATATTTTACACTTACAGTTCAGAAACACCTGTGTTTCCCACTCAGATTGAACCGTTGGAGTGCTATGTAACAGCTTTTTACTGGCACAGTAGTAAGACAGAAGAAAACAAAAATATTATCTTGAAAATAACTTTAAAGTTGTAAAACTAGGAGAGGAAAATACTAGTAAAAAGGTAATGTTCTGTGTGTGATAAAATTTGGTTGTGAAAGTAGCTGTGATATGTAGAAGCTGTTGAAAGAATTAAACAAATAACCATACAGCTATGAACTCATAAAAAATGATCTCAGCCTACCTGAACAAATTTAACATGTTCCCACTGAAAATGCTATTTTTGCAAAATGCTTCTCAAGTGTGTACTGCACCTCTGTGCTTGTGGTAGCAATAGTAATGGGAGGACGGTTGGACTCGATGATCTTGTAGGTCCTTTCCAACCTTGTGATTCTATGATTCTAAGTTACTCAGCATCTTCTCAAAAAACAGTGTGAGATGATATCTTATATATGCCCCCCTGCAATTACCTGAAAATAGTACTTTTTATAACACTAGCAGAATTCAGGTCTGCGATATTTGAAAAAGCAGAAGCTGCTAGGTAACCCCACTAATAATAGTAATTATTTAAAAACCAAAAATCAAATCAAAAAATAACACGCAATCTTGCTTTACACATGCATCATTAATGTATTAAATCTTATTTGGTCCTTTGCTTTCATTTTCCTGCAAGAACTGACAATTCTGTTTGCTGAAAGACACACTCGGGAAGATGTGTACTGGATGTTCTCAAACCAAACCAGGGCACACTTCAGTCTTTACGGGTGATACAAAGCAAAGTAGCTCCTGGAAACAGTGTTTTCTTTTTCTACAAAATTTCACCACAGAAAGGTGAAAGAGTCCCACTTACTACTTAAGCTCTAATCTGGAAAAATGATAGGAATAATTACTCAGATAATAGTTTACTCATAATGCAGTTACTGTAACTTGCGTAAGTGTGGAGGACGCAGTGATGCCTGGTGGTTAGGAGACCAGACCATGTGTCAGGCCTTTATTCCTTATCTTGCCACTGCTTGCTGTGTGAACCTGAACAGTTGCTAAACATCTACTACATTTAGCTTCCCTTTCAAAGTGAGAGTAAGGTTGTGGTTTTACAGGCAGCTCAGCAAAGATAGTGAATTGCCGCAAAAAACCCATGCTGACTGTATCACACTTGTCTTTTTCCCCCAGTTTTACAGAACATGAGGAATCTGCCAGAAAGGAACAAAAATTATGTGGCTACTGATGGTGGTTTTTGGTTTTAAATGCATGCAAGCAAGTATTCTTGTAAAATGCAATTTTCTTAATTCTCATGGATACCATGCTCAGGGAGAGGCTGTTGCAAACTGCCGTGCAACAGTGTTAGTAAGGAAGAGAACAGATTTCACAACAGAAGTACTGCTAAGGAAGCACAGGGAAAAAAAAAAAAAAAAAAAAAAAAGTGCTGCTTTTTGTTGAGATTGAAAAGGAAATAAAAAGGAACTGAACTACAAGATGAAGAGGTAGCAGCATATGGCACTTGACATAGGCTCTTGGCCCTCCCCACGGAGGATCCAGAAGCCAAGCAGACGGTTATTTCAGCAGAGGGCACCAAAACGACAAGTACGTTGTAGTGCCTTCGACTTGCTCTGCCCTGTGAGCACTAAATCCCTGATATCCCCTCAGCCTTAGAATGGGTTTGTGACCTCATTATGCCCTGACTTTACTTATATTGATTCCAATAAGTTTTTTATGTAAGTTTTTTTCTTGTGTTTTGTTTTGCGTTTCCCTCCTGCCTGGAAAGAAGTGGTGCTGAATGACACTGGAAGGTATACAGTTAAAGCAAGCAAGGCAAAGCAAGCAAAAAGGCACTAAAGAGTACCATGAGAATCTGTGACACTGTACCAGATCAGTCTGTAGGATCCCTCAATGTCAGTGGGACCAGGAGACTAATGAGATGTTACAGTGAAGTGAAACTGTTCTTGAGAAACCATCACAGGGAAGTTTCTTACCTTCCTTGCCGTTTCTTCTCTTATTATATATTTTTTAACACCAACTGAAGCCACAGTGTACATTTATGTAATTATTTCATTCCTAGCAACCAGAAAACACAAATGTTAACTGTGCTGATATCCTGCAAATCTGTTGCACATAGCATCATAGAACTGTAGAAAGCTTTACACATTTTTAAACAAATACGATAACATTTGGAGAGTTACATAGCATGTTCTTGCTTGTGTAAACTGAATGGTAGAGAGATAAGCATTCATGAAGGTACATGAATCTCACACTCATGCCCTTCACATCCCATTACACCACTAAGGCTTCTCTTGTATAAATGAAATCTGAACTTTGTATGTTACTACATTTAAGATACTGGGCGTAGCCTTCCACAGGGGAAAACTTTACTTTGTTTTCATCCTCTTACTACTTTACAGTAAGCATATATGACTGGTTCTGAAAGTTGCATCTGAACTTTCATTTGGATGATATTCAGCATTTTCTTTAATGAATATTTTTTACTTTTGCAGTTTTCACATTGGAAGGACATGCTTCTGTCTTCTGCTTCTGTCAGTGACACTTTATAAAACAGCAGGAATTTCAGGTTTTGTTAATGCATATATTTGCAATGGTCAAGCACACGAAACTGCTGAAGCTTTCCTCCAGTGTTATCTTTTATTTTATATCATATATGCAAGAGTCCTGCATATGTGAAAGAAAAGGAACATTTTTTAATGCTTGAGGCCAGTTGGAAAAAATATTTATTTCTTTCCTTTCATTTTGATATCACAGGTTTCAAAATGAGAAAATTTCCACTATTATCAGCTTTATAGGTCACGCAGGTAACTGAAATAGCAAACTGAAACACTGCCGACTTGTTAAAAACCTTTCTCTTTTATGCAGATGGCTACTGTGTTACTGCACTAAGATTTTGTACGGAAAATAATATAAATTGAATAATCAAATTGATACTATTTCACAGTTGCATTGATATTTTAGCTATTTCTGTCAGTCATGTAGGCTTGTAGAGGGACTCATTTCTAATGAATCTGAAGGCTACTAGGTTGGCTACTAGAACTGTGCCAACATTAGCATCTCATTGATGAGAGGAACAAAAATAATAAAGATGAAATGGAAAACTGACACATGGTATTGTAGAATCTAAACTAATTTATGTTGTTTTTTGAGAACAAAATAATAATAATAATAATAATAATAATAATAGAACAATGTGAATAAGTGAAGATAAATTACAGCAGAATTAAAAAGCTGAAATGAGATATGAAAACAGTAATCCTGAAAGCAAATATTTTCTGTTTCATATATTGAAGCAGTATATCATATAGGAAATAATGCTGGATAAGTGGACAAAGTGAACCTTAAGAATAAACCAGCTATCTTGTGAGATCATCTCCTGAAGAAAAAAAAAAAAAAAAAAAAGAGGGAAAAAAAAAAAAAGAATAAGAAGGAAGAAGCTCACCTACAAATTCCTGAATATTTAAAATCCAGGACACAGAATAATGACCTAGAAGCGTTACTCTGATGAAGATTAAAATGGGTTATGAAATTCAGGGCAGTCATCTTTGCAATGTTACTTAACAAGCAAGGTCATTCCAGAGCCCTCTTCTCTAAACAATGCAGCACTGGGACAGACTATGCTGTAATATGGAAATTTGTTGTTAATGAGTAAATACTGGTAACAGAATTTACTAAGTGGTAACAGAATTAAATATTGAAGGCAAACATGAGTTACCTGAAATTAAAACCTTTCAATAGACAGGAACAATATATAGGAACTGACTATAGGAAGTAGTAGAAGGCTTCTGAATGAAGTACTGAGAACACAACTGAATAAAATACTAGGATTATGTACTCTGTACCACCACTTGATATACACCAGGAAGGAGGAGCACGTGTTTGGACCTCAACTGGTTCTAGTTTCTTCAACTTCAAACAAAGTTTGCATAGAACACCAACCATTTTAGCTCCTGGTGCTGGCTTCTGTGTCTGAACAAGATACTAGAAACTTCTGCAAGGTTCACACTTGTAGCATAACAGTTAAGAAAGAAACCTGCAAAAGACAGCAACTGTTGGTTCGAAGTTTTCTGTGATACGAAATGTTTAAAATAATAGGATGAAGTAGATACTCAAATTTATATAGGGTAATGTGCAGAGATACTGTTTCATAGTTCATTTGCAAGCAGAGGGGTTAATTAGATAGCAGTATGATGATTCAGATTTTTTTTATAATAAACCAGGCTGCAATTTGCCAAGTGGTCATATGAAAGATTGTGCTTCAGGAGAGACTCTTACATAATTTACACAGTCATTGCGAACAAGTGATCTTAGTGTGTCATTGTAGGAAGCATTAAAACATGAACATAATGATAAAAATGTAATAATGTACTGATCTGTGATCATCCCTGATTTCTGAATGTGGCAAACATTGACAGTCTTGGTTAAATCATTCATCAGGATATTTAATTGTGTAAAGATGGTACAAAGGATTTCAATGTTTACAAGCATTGCTTTAGATTTCTGTTGTCCTTAGGCTTTCACAGCTCTTCTGTTAAGTTCTTGGACGTAACAATAAAACAGCCATAATGCTTGAGATTCACAATTCCATATTAAACTGTGGAAGTTGCATTTCTATAGTTCACACTAAGACCCATAATTGCTGAAAGAAAGGACTAATTCATAAAGGTTTTTTCAGTTATCTAGGCAATAGTGAAAAATAGGCCAAGGAACAGCTAATGGATTATTCAGAGCACACAATTTACACCCTAGGTGGCAAATTCATTTAGAATTGAGCCTGGCTAAGTTAAAAGTGGCCTTTGCAAAGATCCTAATCTTCCATGTTCATACAATGCCAAATGCCTGTTTTTAATATTATTTTATTCAAGCACTGATTCTTGAAAAGCATGAAGTTTTAATTATGTTGGTGGAAAACTCCAAATAGAAGTATGATTGAAAGTGATATTGTTAAAACCAGTAAGTGTGATAGAATTAATATTTAGCTACCACCAGCACAATTCTTGTAAAGTTAATATGAAAATCATAGCAGTTTGCAACGAATAAAAGAGCCAGAGAGATGAACTGAATATTAAATTCCACATAAGCTTTCCCTATTGTCTAAGAGGCTCTAGGTATTTATTTCCAGGTCTGTCTGAACGACGTGGCCCTGCATCTTTTTGCAGGTTGCTATCTCGAGGCCCTGACTCTGAGCTTTATTATTCCTCACCTGACATCACATTGCTTCAATGGTAGATGAAGGTCACACAGTCCTCTGCTGTTGGGATGTTGAACTGACAGAGCAGTGCACGCTCCTTGCAGTATTGTGAAGTGGTTAGCAATGCAAGGATTCCACGTGCAGCATCCTTACTGTATGGGTTGTACACCAAAGCCTTTCCTGAAAGGAGAATAACAGAAAAAGTATCAGCATGTAACTCTGTAAGTAAGACCTTTTAAAAGCACAACATCAGCTGCTGGTGCCTGTTGTAGCTCTGAAGGAAGAGCTGCACAAAACAAAACCCAAGCAGCTGCTGTGGCTCCAGCTGGACGCCCACGCAGGGACATCCCTGGGGAACGCCTTGGGGCCAGTGACCCCAGTGCTGGGTTTTGTATACAAATTTGAACAAATTCCATTGTATTTGGTATCTCAGATCGTACTTCCATAGAATGAGAATCAGCTTGATGCTACACTGAAATATCCTGATGTTAAATAGTTGAATGTTCTGGGGACTAAATGTCCATCCGTTTGCGCTAACTAAATGTGGTAGTTGTCAAGAATATGTGTAAAATACTTCAAAATTTCTTCAGCAACCAAACTAGCTCCACAGAAGGGCTTGGTGGGTCCCCAACACACTGAATCATGGAATCATAGAACGGCCTGGGTCGAAAAGGACGACAACGATCATCTCGTTTTAACCCCCTGCTATGTGCAGGGTTGCCAACCACCTGACCAGGCTGCTCCTTGTTTTTGGAGGATGATGGACCTTCCCGGCAGCCAGCCCAGCTCTGTGCATTCCCGAGGACCTCCTGAACAAAGCAGTGCGCAGACATCTGAGAGTGCCAAGCTAGGGAACAGCATTTATTTATTTATTATTTTATTTTTAGGAAGAAAACCCAAGCCGTAAGGCCGGCGCCGGGGGGCTCCGAGCAGGAACGCAGCGCGCCCCGCCTGAGGTAAAATGGCGGGCAGGAGCCCGAGGGGCTTCCAGCTCACACAGCTCCCTAGCACGCACAGAACGCAACGAAGAGCCAAAACCTCGGTCCTGCAACCTCGCTGCGACTGCGTGAGCGCTGGGGACGAGGAAATGAAGTGAAAGAACGAAGGGGGGAAAAAAAAAAAAATCCAACAACAAACCAAAAACACGGAAGGCAGGGAGCAGCGCAGCGGACGGCTCCCCCGCCCGGCAGCCCCTCGCCCCGCAGGGCCCGGCCCGTGACTCGGCTGTTTCTGCCGGTTCCTCCTCTCCCTCCGCCCGCCGGGCGCAGGAAGGGGCGGGCGGCGGCGCAGGGAGGCAGCCGACGCACAAGATGGCCGCTGCTGCAGGGGCGGCGGAGGGGGTGGCGGCGGGGCGGCGGGAGCTGGCGGGGGGAGCCCGGAGCCGGCGGGTGCAGGAAGCGGAGGGCGCTGCGGCCGCCCCCGTGTGCCGCAGCTGAGGGGGGCCGGAGGCCGCCGCCGGGAACCCGGCCCGCGTGGTGAGTACAGCTTCCCTCTGCCCTCACCGCGGCGGGGAGCGGGGCGGCGGGGAGCGGGGCCGGCACCGGGGTGCCGCCGAGGGCGGGCGGGCCGTGCCCGCGTCCCGCGGGGTGCGGCGGAGGGGAGGGCGCGGCTCTCGGGCCCGCGGCGCCGCCCGTCTCGCTAAGGCCTCGGGCTTCGCCGGGCTCTATTTCCGAGCGCCCCGGGAGGGAGGTAGGGAGGGAGCCGGCGAGGCGAAGGGGGAGGGGAGGGCAGGGCCCGCCGGTTGGGTCCGGCCGGGGGGTGGGGGCGGGCGGCGTCGCCTCGGGCTGCGGTGGGGAGGGAGGGGGCCGGCGGCTTTGTGCGCGGCCCGCATCTGCTGCCGCCCTTCCCGAGGAGGACCGACGGCCATCCGCGCGTCGCTCGGCACGGCTCGGAGAGAGCGGCCCGGCGGCGAGGCCGGAGCCCCCAGCCGGTGACGTGCCAGCGGTCGCCCTTTTGTCTGCGGTCCCGAGGGCGGCGCGGAGCCGACGGCGGGCGCTTTTACCGCTTTTAAACCCTGCGTTATGTTACGATTGCGGCGTGATTCTCACGGTCGGGGTTTGCGGCCGGGTGCGAGTTGCGGTGGCTGGGAGTGCCCCGGTGTAAGGTTTTGTCCGCCAAAGCCGTCGTGAGGCGTGTTTTGTGTTAAAAGCAGGGAACCTCTGTGCTTTATTCCTTGGAAGCGGTAGGGCTAAGTTTCTCTCTACTTGTAACTCTAGAGTTGCTCCCTTGTTTTGCAATTTCAATCAGTCATGAATGAAAAATCCTGCGTGTTTTGTATTATATGGAATATGGCTGAAGTAAATAGAAAAAAAAAAAAAGAATTATAAAAGAGCCAAAAATTGCTGTCATCCCTGTAACTGATTTAGCAGCACCATCTTCTTATGGCCCTCCTAGGAAGAGAAACACAGTTGTCAAACTCTGCGTTTGTATTACATTCGTGCCGTAGGCCTACACAGAGCTGTTAGGTAGCTCTGCAGTGCTCCAGTGCAGAACTTCACCTCTTCTTCCTGTTCCTGACTTCTCTTTCCCTTTCAGTCTTACAAGGAGAGTGGTGCTAGTTGGCAAACTGTGCATCTCTACATTTGTGTGTTTGAGATCAGTGAAGCTGATGAAAGCCTTCCTAGCTGTGTAAATAGCCAGGCGCACCTAGGAGGTGTGTGCATGCAATGGACAGTTTCAGTGCTTCTCTGCTAGAACCACAGAATGTGACTTTCTTTATTCTATTAATACATGACATGGATATGAAATTACGGTTTCCACTAACATAAATAGAAGCAGACTTTATCAGGTAGGCACCTTTGTTTTTCTCTGCAGTTGTTTTACCTTCCCGTTCTGCCGAAGCAGGCAGCATGACGGGTTGGTTTGAGAGGAATTTAGAAATGACAGTACTGTCATTGTAGTCTGTTTTGAAAACCAGAGTCTTGGGAGGCATGTCGAGTTTCTCAGTCACTTCTGAGCAGCGTTAACAGTAATGGAGATGAGAAACAGAGTTATTGGCATGTTTTCTGCGTTGTTGTTTTGTTTTGTCAGCATTGTGTTTGAACTAGTTTAAAGGAAAAGTGATTTAGAGATTTGTAATATTATTGTACGCTCATAAAGGTATTAAAATGTTCTAATGTGCAGGTGAACGTGTGGATCCTGCAGTTGCATACACCGGTATGTCAAGGCTTAATTGAAGGGCAGCTTAGGACATACATATTACTGTATAACAGTACACGATCAGGTGAACAGAGATTAGCAGGATTGTTTTCAGAAACCTCTGCCCTGTTGCCAGTGATTCATCGGCAATCTGGGAGGAAACCACTCTTGTTGAATTAAGCGTTGCAGATACTGAGATTCGGCAAGCGAGTGTATTGAAATAGCGACTGAATTTCTTTATATTTGATTCGGAGGTCTTGGGTGACGATGACCGTGATCACCCTTGATAATAATGATGCAGAGACTGATATCACTGATTATCTGGGGTCTCTATCTCCAAAGTAACTCCTGCTGCAAAGGGGATGTTTTTACAATATTTAACAAGTACTCATCTGCATTTACACTCATAAATGTGCATCCCCAGTGTCTCAAAATAGCTATGCAGCAGCCACTGTATGATGCCTTATAAGCAGAGAATCTTTTGTAAAAGTTGTTAATTTTTTTTTTTATAAGACTGTTCCCTGTGTAAGATTCTTATCTCCAGTGGATTCAGTGAATCATTTGGCAGATAAAGCTGTGGTTTGTGGGTTGTCCCATCCCATGCACACCCCAAGTTGGGGGATAGCCGTTTGCTGGAGAACCCCAAGCTGTTAGACCATAAATTCTGACTCAGTAGGGGATTTATAGTTTGAAGCTAATGCCTTGCACAGCGTTTAGCAATGAATATTCATCTATTATACAGAAATAAAGCTATGTTATACTGCTGTTGTGAAAGGTTTTTATATAAACGTTCTAATCCAGCTGAAATTTCAGAGTTGCCTTCAAGGTTACTTCTTTATAGGATGTATGACAGTCAAGCAATCTGAAGTCCGCAGACTCACACTAACTGAGAAAGAAAGCCACAGGTATTTACCTCTGTTACTTTCCTTTCTATAGAGACAGTTCTCAGTGTGTGCTGAATTGAGTGCAGTTCCCATCACCCACTTTGGCCACTTGTTTTTCTCAAGAAGTGCTTCTGATGATATTATCTTCTGCATTGGTTTCAATTTCTTGGTTACAGTAAAAGCTGAAATCATATTAGATTCCAAAGGGCTAACTGACTTCTGATTTATTTTTTTTTATTTGTGGAAATGTGTAACTGGGAAGAAGGTGAGGAAGCCCCATCACATTGTTTTAAGTAGATACTCTGACATAAAACAGTTGTCTGGTTTGAGTTGTTTATGGAAATAACTTCATCGCTTCTGTATGGTAGAAACTTATTCTGCGGTACCAGTGAGAAAGGAAACTGATTTTTGTGTTTGAAAGATCAAGATTTCGAGATCGTTTCTTCACTTGTACAGTTCCCTGTGCTGGAGTTGTTAGAGGAGTGTGTTTCATTCAAGGTTGCTTACTTACCTGGAGATTCGTTTTTTAATGTAGCAGGAAAGAAGGTGGGTCTGTGTGGACTGGGGTACTTCTGGCAGGTACAGGTGGCTTGCTGTGAGCAACACGGTTTGTGCAGGTGGGCTTTAGAAAGGCCATCAGCATCACAAGAGCAGGTGTAACTTGTGTTACCTCTGAGGAGGTGGCAGCTCCTGGCTCCGGCTCAAGCTTTCAATTGTGAAGAAGAAACTGGTGCCTTATTTAGATAAAGAATGTCATGTTTGTTTAGCTGCATTTTTCAGCACCATCCACTGACAACTGGGAAATCAAAACACTTTAATTCACACAGCAGAAAGCACTGCACATCTTTTACAGGCTTCCACCTGAGAGCTTTTGCTCAGCATGCTGTTAGAAAGCGTAAGGGCCACATGCACAAATATTTGAAGGGGGTAAATATTGTGTTGATCTGAGACTGATTGCACTTCAGCTACAGGACTACTGAAGAAACCAAGTGCGCGGCTAGCTGCAGTAACTCAAGTGCCTGCTGCTCTGGGAGAGCCTGCATCTTGCAGGTCATTCCTTTTCGTGTGGTTTATTTGTGTTCTAACAAAGCCTGATTTATGGCCCCCTTTCACCATGCTGGTTTAATACGTGTCTTTAGAAATGATGCTATTTAACTACTGCTCAAAGGCAGGCTGTTATGTTGAACATGCAGTCCAGGCATTCCAAATGGCATGACTTCTTACGATGCTAAAAAGCTGCCAGGCTAAGCTTTGAAGGTTGAGGTATGGCCGTTTTGAAATCTGTTGTTTGTTGTTACAAACTTCTGGTTGATCAGCTGGTGGAACAGTAGTGGTTTCAGTCCAGTTTTAAAGGTCTCAGAGTTTCCTTCTAAAATCACTTACAGAAATTACTTCATATAAAAAATGAGCAAGCTGGAAGATTTTGCAATTAAAATTTTTAACTTCCCTTCAGTTTTGAAAGGAAGCTTCTGGTATAGAAGCAGGGTCATGTCTGTTAAGTATGCAGTGAAGGTCTTCAGGGACCTGCAAACTAATTATTTTTGATAAATTGTGGCAGGCAGCATTGGTCTCCAGTTCAAATTGAAGAGCTGTCTTCTGAGGCGAAAGGAGTCAGGTTGAAGGAAGGTATTACAGAGTGAATGAATTGAGATTCATTCCAAGGGGGACTGTTTTAATTACCTACTTATTAGTAAACCAGCTTCTTTGCAACACTCCCACTGTTCAGTAGCATTTTTCCATTTGTTTGAGATGTTATTCATGCTGACCTACTCTTTTTTTTTTTTGCTTTGTTTTTGTAGCAGTTGTACATGAATCAGTAACTCTTCCATGTTTTAATACAAAGCTTGTGTAATACAAATCTTTGTCATTTCCTTCAAAAGTGAGAGTTAAATGAGACCTTTAACTGTTGACTCTTGCTTGTCCTGTAAGTCACATGGTTTGGCTTCTTTTTTTGACCCCCTCCTTCCTTTTGTTATCAGTTTGGAATAGAAGTCCTTCAGGTACTGTTTGGTGTTTGGAACTGTACAAACAAAGGCAAGTGCTAAGAGTTCCTTATCCAGTGTTCGTATCTGTTGAATCTGGTACTCACAGTACAGGAAGGCTGAAGTGGTTTGTGCCCTTCTTCTAATTGCGTGCCGAGACACGAGAACTAAAGACCTTGAAATTATCAGCTAGTTCAAAAGAAATAGCAGAAAGTGAGTTTGATTGCCTTACATGGCTCTCTGAACTTGTGACACACTGCATAATCATCATTTAATGACCATTCATAATTCTGGCAGTTACACAGACTTAATG